AAAAAAAGGCAGAACAGACAAAAATTATGTTAATGGTGTGTCCGCCTTTCAGACATTTCATGAATGTAAAAAATGTTAACGTTATTGCGGTGCAAATGTAAACAGGGTATGTTGAAAATAGGTTCGGCTGTACTATTTCCATGGAGGTTGAATCGGGTTCGTGCTTCGGAGAGAAATGGGCTCCAAGGCCTGTTGAAAATAGGTTCGGCTGTACTATTTCCATGGAGGTTGAATCGGGTTCGTGCTTCGGAGAGAAATGAGCTCCAAGGCCTGTTGAAAAACTATCAAGCTAACCCGTTGAGGCGTGGGGGGGAGCTAAACTTTGAATGACATCCTTATTGTGTATTTGATCTGTCAGTGAGGTAGAATTTTTTTATTAGGGCTGCAAAAAAAAAAAAGATTTGAAGGCCAATCTCCCGGCCATATTTATTCTTGATAATATTTCAAATGAACCTGAACAAAATTTGCCATCTCCTGCTTCCAAAGCAAATCCCACGAAAGGTACTCGTTGACCAAAAGAGAGCAATGGAGTGCACTTTCACATGCACATGAATGTCAGTTGGCAGCAATGAATGGAGGAGGAATGCCCCCCCCCCCCACACACAATAACGGCGCCTTTTCTTGGATGCTTGCAATCCAAGAGGCTTCCATTTCACACGGGGAGCACCCGCTCAGAGATTCCTGCAGCATTCCCGCTAAATAGGTCATCCGGGCGGGTAGGGTGGAGGAGGGAAGGACATGCCGGAAAAGGCCGGACCTTTGGTCAACTGTGGGCCTCCATCGTCGGCTCTGCGAAGAATCAAGACGACATTCCCTATGGGGTCCGAGCCAACAGTCAAAGCCGCTTTTAAAAATAGGCGGAAGGTGACTTTCAAGTGACCCGAGCTTGAAAATCATCACGAATTGACGCTTGTCCCGCAGAAGTAACCGCAGCGGGGTTAGCGGAAAGAAACCTGCGGCCACAATGGCGTCCCGACGCGACCGCATGTGGCCAAAATTCAACCACAACTGACTCGGTGTTGGGAGAGAAAAAAGAAAAATAAAAAGCCCGGCCAGATAAACTGACTCAAGATGCCTCGGCGATATGGCCTTAAAATAATACTCCACATTTTTTCCCCCCCGACTGAAATCTGACTTTGCATTGTAATTACCGTATTTTCTGCACTATAAGGCGCACCGAAAAGTCAATTTTCTTAAAAGCTCACTGCGCACCTTTAAATCCGTTACCCCTTGTGTATGGCCATTACGGTAACATGTCGACCCCCCCCCAAGATGGCTCCTTGCTGGAGACATGCTTACAATGTTCTAACTTGCTGTTGGTTCAGTGAACTGTGTCGCTGCTTTATTAAATACGTTTTTGTTGTGGCTCCGCAAAAAGGTGAGCTGTGGTGTTTTTTTTTTTTTTTTTAAACGCACACTTTATTAATGGTTTTCACAGTCTCAACAAATACAGGTACGTTTTTGTCCGCCTCCGTGCCTTCTCTTCTTCCGCTTGACTCGAGAGGCGTTCAATGTCCGACTCCGAAAAACGTAAAATTTACCATTCCTTCAATGAAACTACGAAAATTGAAAATAATGCATCAAAACAGGAAATCAAGCGAGAAAATCACAAAATAAATTCTATAGCCCCCCTACAGAATTTATTTTGTGATTTGCTCGTTTGTGAATACAGTACACAACAAGGGAATGAATAATAAAACACTTCTGAGACAGTCCAGTCTCCTACATTTTACTGACATCTGATCGTTCTGTTGGAGCTACGCTCAAGGAAATGCCAAAATAAATTCTGTAGGGGGGTTGCGTTATAAGACACAGGCATGGTAAAACGGAGGCTAGCTTCCAAAAATACGCCAGCATACACACACGCTCATCAAAGTCACACAACAGCATTCACGGACGCAGGCATGGTAAAACGGAGGCGAGCTTCCAAAAATACGCCAGCATGCACACACGCTCATCAAAGTCACACAACAGCATTCACAGATTTTGCAGGCGAAGAGCAAAATTCTCCATGTCTGTCATAACCTTCTCACACTTTGTCCCACTTCCAAGCGCAGCGGCCACTTGGTGTTCGTACAAAGCGACTCGCTTTATTCGGCGGTGCGCCCCGTCCATTTTGGAGAAAAAAGGAAGACTTTGAAGTGCACCGTTTTGGTCGCGTAAATACGGTATTTTCACCGGGTGGGGGTAGCGCTTCATCAAACGGGCCGAATATCAAGCCCTCGTTTTGATCAAGACAGTCAGGATGCTTCGCTCACCTCGGCTGCCAATTTCTTCATGTAGGGGTCCGCCTCTTCCAGGCGCCTGTAGCCCTGTTGGAACAAGGAGTACTGGGCGCGCATGAAGGACAGCATCTGGAAGGGGCAGCCACACGTTAGCGTCTACGTGTATTTATTTATCCACGCTCATGTCTGTGTGGAATTGAAACAAGACTCACCGCATCCAGGATCTCAAATTTCTTCTTGGCCTGGAAGACATTGATCTGCAGGGAGAAGAAAGACACGGCATCCACACGATCAGCATTTTCAGAGACGCAGGCGACTTTGACCTAGATCGGGGGTGGACAAACTTTTTCGTTGGAGAATGGAAGGGCCGCTTTTAAATTCCTACGTTTTTTTTAAAAACGCGTTCAAAACGCAATTCCATTTGGTTTGTATAGTCTCGTTCATTTCATCAGCTTTCTGATCAATACGTGAGGGGCAAATAGTTGAGGATTTTTGGGTCCGGTGACCGATAGCCGTTGATCCGGCACGCACAGCCGCCTCCCTTTGGAAACCAACTTTAAAGACGAAAGAAAGAGATGCTCATCTCCCCACCTGCAGAACGTAGTCCAAGGCCAGGTGACGGAAGCACTTTCGGGCGACGCTGAGGGCGCAAGTGGCTTCCTCCACCTCGTGAGCTTTGGTCCTGGGCGCCTGCGCATTCTTCACCTGCGCGATCTCCACGTCCTCACGCACACGCTCAAAGTGTTTCCTGGTCTCCTTGAACTTGCGCACGTCCCTAAAGGAATCGGCCACACCTGAGTTAAATGTGATTGGAGTTTGCAAACTCTCAAATCTTGTTGACTTTTTTTTAATTCAAAGTTAAATTCGTCAGGTAACAGACAAGTTTGAGCCTTCCGTTGTCTTGACAAGCCCTTCTCAAATTTGCCCCACTGTGATGTAACAGTGGGACCATTTCATTTTCATATCACCCCCGAGACCAAGTTCCTTTGCCCATGACTTGGAAGGTCAGACTGAGTGAAGATCCGCCATTATCAAGGCACAAAAGGTTGACACTGTCTAAAGTAAAGATGTCAAAGCCAAAGGGGACCCAGAGCTGTAGTACGTTGGCTGACTTGAAAATACACTTTGACACTTGGAACAATATCATTCTTTTCTAAAAACAAATGTGACGGTTTCACTAAAAAGCAGACTTTCTTTACTTCGAAAAAAAATACTGACTTCTTGCAATATGAATTTTTTTCCCCCTTCTTTTTTTCAAATTTTTCTTTAAAAAACAAAAAACAAAACGTACTCCTTCACAATGGGGTTAATTTCAATATTCGAGTTTCTATCTAACTGTGCCGCTTGTCGGGGAGGCTCGAGGAAGTGGTGCCACCGCCAGGGAAAACGCAAATGAAGCTTTGACGGAGGCTGGCCCTTCCCTTCAGATTCTTGATTGCGTGAGAA